ATGCAATTATGTGTGCATTAAAACATAGGAATATAATAATTTTTGTGAAATTAAAATCAATCATAAGGATAGATACGTGTTGATGCACTCATGCTGCAGCATTTTATTTAATATGTTGAGTGGTTTTGATTTAAACTTAAAAGAAATCAAAAATCAATTGGAAATGAATTTGGAAATTTGATTTGGAAAAAGAAATAAGAAACTCATTTCTCTCCCATCCCTTCCTCATTCTGGCCCGCCGGCCCAACTCTCCCCGCCGGCCCGCTCGCCCCTTCCCCTTCTCCCCCTCCTCCCGTTTCCTTCCTGGGCCGACCCAGCTCGGGCGGAACCGCCGCCGCCGCGCCCTCCCCCTTCTCTCTGCCGCTGATGGCCTGGGCCCACGTGTCGGCGCCGTCTCCAACCTCCCGCATCACGCGGTCAAGGCCGCAACCTTCGCCTGCGCCCACTCGCGTCGTGTGAGCGTCCTCCCCCACGCCCCGGCCCCTTCAAAAGGCGGTCCAGAACCGTTGCCGCCCTCCCCCTGCTCCCTCCCGCTCATTTTCGCTTTCGATGAGCACACGGAAGCCAAGAACCACCCGCAGACCGAAAGAACGCCGAGGTCCGCCGTCCGCCCCTCCACGCGGTCCGCCGTCCCCGAGCCGTCTCCGTCCTTGTTTTCCTCCACGGTGAGACCCCCTTGCTCCCCTCCTTCTCCCCGTGCCATTATTTTCCAATTGCATGGCCTCTAGGGCCCAATCCGCAAGCGCCATGGAGTTTCCCGCCGCCGGCCATGGCCACCACCGCCAAGACCGTGTCCTCCGGCCGCATTCTCGGCCTGGCCGAGGTCGCCTGCACCCCCTCTCTCCCCCGGTGCCCTCGGTTCGTCGAACCGTGGCCCGTAGCCCCTGAACCGAGCGCGCCGGCGAGCTCCATGTCGCCGGCCATGGTGCCCCGCCACGGGAGCACTGTTCCCGGCCGCCGTCCTCCTTCTCTCTCCCACCAGAGCTCTAATCTGAACCGTCCAATGCTTGATCAACGGCCACCGATGGCGATACCCCTTCGTGGGTCATTTTTCTAAAGAGACCCCCAAGTTTTGCCAAATAGAACCCATAGTCCTTGGCCGTTTTAAGTATTCCGAGATTGATTTTATTTAAATTCAGAAATAGTTCATTCTATTTACAGAAATGCCACTGCACTGTTTTGCTTATAAAATCACCGTTTTAGCTCCGAATCGACCCGTTCAAATTGCGTTAGTTTTGTAATTGCATAGTCTACGTGTTAGTACCACTGTTAACCATGTTTGCAACTTTTAAATTTTATGGTTAGGTTTAATTAAATAAATTGCTATAGGAAACACCGTTTAATTCATAACTTTTGTGTTTTAGCTCCGTTTTTCGTGAACTTCGAGTTGACGTAATCGTAGCGAGACGTAGATTCTTTTCATAAACATTTTATCTTGTTTTCTATACTGCTGGTGTACTGTTCTAACTATAGGATTATTTGCTTTGCATGAATGCATTTGGAATGCTTGTATGTTGCTTTGTTGGTCGAGTTCAGACGGTGAGGAGAACGTTGGAGACCAAGAGTTCTTCGGAGACCAGTAGGACCAGCAGGAGTTTGTTAACCAAGGCAAGTATAGCATGGGATCTACCTTGATGTCCTATTCACCATTTATTAATTACTTATTTGCATGTGTCTAATTTTGATACCCGTAAGGACATCCTAGTGATTGATTATCCTGTTTCCTTGTCTCCTACGAGTTATATGCATATGGGTAGTTTGCTAGCGCTCAATATAACTGTACATGATCCAAATAATGAATAATGGTTCTATGGAACGAAAAGGTAAAATTTGCTTTTAAACAACTGAATTATAGGGCGCAGGAGCAAATGACTTTCGATCATGATGCCCTCGGCCCTCCATAAGGACTTATCTATCGGCAAAAGCTGGGACTGACAGTGCAACCGTGAGGGTCACATGGCTCTGACTTTAGGTCAGTAATAGGACCTTTTCTAGCTTGTTAGAGGTTACCTTTATGGCGCAAAAGGGGCTTGCCACATTGGGTATAGGACTGCCCCTGTTCTTATGTGTATAGCCGCGAAGGATTTGTGCCATAGGAAAGGGGGGTTCCTACATCTGCCTACCGAGGAAACCTAGCAGCCCTAACTTGTTAGAGAAACCTATGAAATTGCTTCATAGTGTACCCCGCCCGCTCACCTTGGCAGTGATATGGGATTAATTAACCCGGACATAGGGGAAACACGACTCATGGTGAATGTGCACAACCTCTGCAGAGGGTTACAAACTGTTATAACAGCCGTGCTCACGGTCACGAGCGGCCCGGAAAACTCATAGAATAACTGGTTATTTATTGTTGCTCATTTATGATGTTCTATGATGATAAAATGATACAATTGATTCTGATATCTGATCACATGGGTTTAATTGGAGCTTAAGCATAACTTGATAATAGTTAATGATAAAATCCTGACTTACTAAAAGTGCTAACCGCAGTAAACCAGAGTCATCCTTTTTGAGCTTTCATAACCCCATGTTATCTTGTTAAGTACGGGAAGTACTTACGCTTGTTTACTTTCTATATTTGGATAAAAATCCCGGATGGGTAACAGATGTCAATGAGTATGAGGAGTTTCCAGAGGACTTTTAGGCTTGTGGTCAACCAGTTGACCGTCCCTGTGTTGGAGCTTCCACGAGAGAGCTACTTTCTTTTATTTTCCGCTGCGTTGTGTAAGACTATGTTATGGTCTTAACCGTGATGTAAGATACACCGTGATGATACTTTTATAATTTGTCAACTTATGTGTGTGACTGATCCCTGGGCACACATGAGTTTAGTGCATTCAATTTTATCCTTAAAATTAGGTGTGACACACCGCCGCTCGCGCTACCGGCGCTGCACCTCCACTCGTGCGTTGCTCGGGCCACCGCCCGCGCCGCCACTTGATGCACCACCGCTTCCCAGTGGTGGAGTGCCGGGTCATGCCCCTACGCCGCCACTCGATGCGCCGCCACTTCTTGGTGGTGAAGAATGGTATGAGAAGCCCGCATGGTAGAGAACTCGGTAGGGGAGCATGTGGTGGTTGAGAGAAATCGGGAGGGGGCGGTCGAGAAATCGGGAGAGAGAGGGAGTCACGACCTCGGCCTCATAGCGTGATGAACATGAGGGGTGGCGGCTGGCGGCGGGACAAGTTGAGTGGGTAGGGTTCGGTAGGACAGGAATAGAGAGAGAAGTTGATTTGTATAGTTGGGGTTTCTAATCGGGCCGGGGTGGGCTAGCACGTCGTGCCAAGGTAGTGACCTAGGCACCCTCTCGTTGGGCTGGGCCAGCACAGGCACGATGTCTATCGGGCTGTGCCATGCTTGGACTGGGCCAAATCGACGGGCCATGTGCCGTGCCCATGGGACTTGGGCCATATGGCCATCTATACATGTATGTATAGATACATACAAATAGTTACATGTATCTTATATACAAATATACGTATGCGTACACATTCATTCATATATCCATATACACATACAAACTTAGAAAAGGCTAATAATGTTTGGCACATGAAAAAGATCGATCACTTCCTATTTTATACCCTGTATGGTAATGTACCCGTGAGCAAAGAAATTATGTCATTGTCATATTTCTAAGAGTAAGTTGCTTTTAATGTGTGTAACAGATTAAAATTGTGTACTCTAACATGAACTTCTCATGTCATCAACATAGAAAGGGCCACTGTTATGCATTATTGGTTATGAGCATGTATATATGGCCATGCAATTTAATTTAAATAGATAAAGCTTATATTTAATAAACATGGAAACACAATATAATTTTCTTCTTCCACACCTTATTAGAAAAGTAACATTTGAAATTACCATAACTATTACTTCATGACCCCATGTTTCTTAATTAGATACCTTACAATCAATCATCTCACATTCTCTCTTTTCCCATGTAAATTCGTAACCGTCTTTGGTTGAATCCCATTTAATTTCAAAATAAAATGATGGCACTTTCTTTGATCTCAAATATAAGTCTATTGGGGTTTGTCCTAACTCAATTTTTTTGACCAGTTATATTGACTTTGATATAAGTTAATGACACACATGTGTGACAGTACTAGATTCCATACGGAAAATACTTATAAAATACAACTCTTTTCGTTAAGACAATATATTTTTATTGGTGTTGTTAGTCAAAGTTGAAACATTTTGAGGGACAAACATAGATTGACTTATATTTGCGACCAGAGGAACTACTAAATTACCCTAGTTAGTTAACTTCTTAACTACTAGCATTGCTAACTTTTATTAGCCTACGGCACACTTATATGATGAAACAATAGCAACATAGTTTTGAGTGACCTTTCTTCTCGTATTTACAGCTGTGTGGATCCACTTAATGTACGTAGTGGATATAATTCTGCAAAATTCGTCTTTGTGATGAATGTGTACTTCAACCTACTACTCAGTTTGTTTTCACTACCTTACATGGGTTAGACAATAAAGTGCATCATTGCCAAGATCACCGCAATAACTTCTATTCGGTTTTTGTAATAACATGTAAAAGTCTGTAACAAATCCACGCTCTATGGCACAGAGCAACACACAATATTTTCTAGCGTTTTTGTTATGAGCTGTGTAGCAGTAAGCAAAACATATCGGTTAAGTCATGCTTAAGGGTTCATATAGTCGAAATCCAGTTGATATAAAATACAGCTGTGCCATTTTATACAGTTCTTATTACATATTTACATGGATATTTGGCTCCTCTCAACCTACAGGAATCACAAATCAGCACACTTCCCAGAAGCAGCACTGCAAACTTCAGGAATTCTGGCATTGATTCGAGCAGGGTCTTGAAAAGAGCAACATCAACCTCATTAACCGCATATATCTTCCGTGTGTTCACCTCTGCTAACAAAAGTCAGATAGGAATTCTGTCCTTTGAGGTTGCCAAAACAATTCTCAAGGGCTCAGATCTGATGAAAACTCTCTCCAAAGAAAGCATGAAGCATCTGAAAGAGGTGGTGTTTAGTTATGAAGGCATCCGCAGTTTGATTTCAGAAGATTACAGTCAGTTGTTGGGTATTGTTGAAACTGACATAAGGTAGATGGCATCTGCTGAGTCTGTAATTACCAGTACTTTCAGATTTACTTACATGCACTACGTTTGAATTATACAGAGAAGATTTGAGTAAATTTTCTACAGAGGTTGCTCGCTTTGGAAATCGGTGCCAAGATCCTAGACGGCATTGTTTGGATAGGTACTTCAAAAGGTAAAACATACTGATGCTATCACCTGATAAATTTATACTGAGTCTATGGCTTCAGAACACCTTATACTGTGTATTCTGTATTCTTATGCATTCTATTATTGTTAACGAATAGATCAGAGTCTCAACTGATACCTGGGGAAAACTTGGAAGAAACAGTGGTTTCCGACATTCACTATCTGATAAAGCTTGCGCAGCGCACTTCGGTCAGTTGTTTAATTGCTTCTTTGCATAGCCGTACCAATGTTGTCATGGTGTATAATAAAACAATTCTTTTGCTACTATGTCGTCCCCCACTCTTTGCATGTGCCACTGAAATGTTGCTCATTTTGTTGTTTGTCATTTTTGCTGCCTTTTGTGGCACTCTGACTGGAAGAATGAAAAAGACATCATCTTTGAAATATCTCTTATTTATCATACCCTTGATGACGTAATGTAGTGGCAAGAACGAAATGAGCAAAATTTCTCTGCACACTAAAGAGTAGGGATCTTTTGTATGTTAATTATTCCTTTATGCAGGAACTGTATCAAGAAATGTTTGCACTGGACAAACTTTACATGCAACTGGAAGATCCAATTATGGGCGGTATGTGCTTCATACCCAAGTTTCTACTATATATATTGTCATATATATAACAACAAACTAAAGCATATGGAGCTCTAATATACTCTCCCACGGCTGAACTGGCAAGTGCCACCGAATACTGCTTGCTGCCACGCTTTCTCATTAGAGTAAAACTTCTTAGTAATATTCAAGGCCAGAGGTGGAGGTTGGCTCTCTAGTAGCTGGTGGCGCAATAGTACATCAGAGATGGAAAGAGAGTGTTGGAAATAGGGGCATTTTTTGGTTTACTTTTATCCAGAATTGTACAAAATAACATGACATAAGTGTATGGATGGGAATGGGTCGGGTCGACCCATTGGATAGTTGACCCGACCCACAAAAATAGGGCCAATGGGTCATCGGGGCTGGCCCTAAATTCCAAAATGGGTCAATAGAGCCGGAACCTATTGACCCAATAGGTACCATGGGTCAACCCACTTGTCATATTAATAATCTTTTTCTTTAATTTATTGGTGTTCTTCATTTTTTCAAATAAATACGATTGGTCATAACTTGTGTAAGATTGTCTGTGCTTGGAAGTACAGTGAGGAATATCAATATTTTGGAAGTGAAAATTGATAAAATTAAAATCATGGTTCACTTGCAAACTTATTTAATTTGATGCATTGCTAATAATCTTAATATATTATTATGATATTTTTTAATCTTGTATCTTATCTTTTCTAAAAGTGTTGATAGTATTCATGGTTTATGATTGTAGAAAAATATTTGGGTCAACCCATACTATCCAATGGGCCATCGAGGCCATAGCATCTAGGGAAATGGGTCGACCCATGGCCCTTAAAATTGGCCCTGAGGCCACAGGGCCGGGTCAGCCCATTCCCATATTGACATAAGTGAAAAAAACATTTGACCAGTACTACTCGTACGGAACATGCTTTGTTCCCTAACATGCACATTACAAACCACAATCAGTATTGGAATCATAGGAATGATCTGTAAAGAAGCCATATAGCGATATACCCCAGAGAGTGACCAGTGCCAATCTTTGAACATCTTGATCTGAAGCTAGTTGATGAAGTTGATCAAGTTTATGCAGTGTGCAAAACATGGTCATAGACACAGTGCTAGAGTGCATATATCACAAAACAATGAACCCACGGCACCACCTGCAGAAACCGGATCACTTGGTTTTAGAAACCGGATCCTCTGGTTTTCCCTAGAAAATTGTGAAAACCTACAAACACCTGCCCAGGAGGAACCCCATCATGGAAGGTGAACCTAGAGTTATTCTATAGGGTCAGCAAGAACTCTTCGCTGTAGAGACAAAGAGCCCGGGGACAAAATTAGGGTTGGAGAACGGTATTATGGTTTGGAGAGGCAAAAAATAGTAATTGTATTCGAGTTTTTTAATCAGTTTTGGATCCCCTTAATTGTCCATGTCCTTCATATTTATAGGGTGGGGAGGCCTTGCTCTAACGAAAAGTTTAATGCACGTGAAATCATGCCTAATACAGCTTTTGTGACGATTCAGCAGAAACTAGACCATCTAGTTTCTGAATCCGGTCCACTGGATTTGCACAAGTATGTCACTTTTGACATATAACACATCGCCCCTATTTCTGGTAAAGCTTGCATACCAAAAAAATATCTAGCTAGATCAATAGCATCTAAGGATGATGATCGACATGCTTTATTGGTCCAATTTTGTTCTAATAGCGATATTCACATTATCATCCATAAGGATCGGTGCGTTATGACATACACTAGGATAATACCTTTTGAAACACTTATTGTCCATTGAGAGCTCTAGGAAAATGCTTATATTATAATGTCTCCATCATATATGAATCTTTACCACCTTGTACAAACCTTCCTAACTTGGATACCAAACTAGGAAACTTATTATATTTTGTTCTAAGAGGTAAAATTGTCTTGAGCTTGACTTCATTATTTTATACTCTGGCAACTTCGCTTTTATCTTTCTTAGTTTCCTTTAAAGCCTTCAACTAGTGCTTCGGTAACTTCATCAATATTGTCCATCATCAAATTATAATAATCAGCAAGGACAAATCATTTTATTTAGCCAGCCAAAAAGAGTCTAGATTCACCTTAATATCAAAGTGGTTCAACTCTTTTTATGCTTAGGGACTGTTTGGGACTGCTCTGCTTCACCTTTTTTAGCTCTGCTCTCAACTTCACTAGCCAAACAAAAACAGCTCCACCAGCTATTCTCTAGAAAAAAAGGTGGAGCTCGTGAAGCACCTAAAGGGGTACTCCAGAAACTCCAGATTTTTTGTGAACCTGCTCTATGGTGGAGTTGGTGGATTAGTCCCAAACAGGCCCTTAGCAAGCTCTCGGTCCCATGAACATGAAGTATTATCCTATGTAGCAGCAGGGGCCATTTGTTGAGTAGCACTGATATGATCCTAGGAAAACTAGTGCTCCAATTTTAGGAACTAGGTACATCGATTTGGACTTGTTTGTCCAAAGCTGTCGGTACTACTCCCACAACCTTTCAGGTATTGGCGTCATTGGAAAACATGCATGTACGTTCTGGTGGTGTTGGAGGTGGATCATATGATATAGAAGTATATTGAGGCACAAATTGTCAAGCTTATTAATTCCTCAAGTTAGAGCCATAGGTATGCTCAAATGGGTTTAGATTATGTTGGCTCGACAGCCAACTCAACAGTAGGGCTACATTATGTGGGAAAACCATTTGGCTACTAAAGTAATTTATCAGCATGACATACGGTGGATCGGATTCATAGGTTTTGCTATTGATAAACTTGTAGCAAGTTTCATAGATGATGACTCTCTATCTTTACTACTGATCCAATTAAGCCATATTGTATGTGCTCATCAATCAAGTTTTAACTAATCCAAAGTAACACAAGAAGATGGAACACTTATACTAGGTACAACCTCAGCATCCTTATTTATAGAGGAAGAACCAAAGTCAATCGCATTCACTAGTGATAGCACCACGTCGAATCGTCGATCCAACTTGAAACGTGCAAATCGGCTTCATCAACATTAGTCATGGAGGAGGTCAAAGGTTGAGTAGTTCTAGCACGATGGTGGTGAAAGGGAACCCATGGGCATGATTAGGGTATGTTGACTTGAGTTGACTAGGATTTAAACCATTTCAAAATGGAAGAGGCGAGAGCTGATAAGGTTCTCTTATATATTAACAAGAGTTAAAAGTGAGGGGCAAACAATGGAAACAAATGGTTTTTTCTTCAAATAAAAGTGATATGCAAAAAACAATATAATGCCCATCACTTTTGTGGTGCGCACGAAGACCTATCACATTTAAATGGGCATAAAGTGACCGGTCTTGATGACAACCTTCACTATTATAAATAGTGACAGCTGTTATTACTTGCCAAAATTTGTTGGTCTTTCTCCAGGCCCAACTCAAGGGTCACATAATAGATGTGCCTTGCTGCTGTCCGTCACTAATTGGTGATGTGCCTCAAGAGCCCATCGCTTTCGTTTTGTCACTACTGTGAGTTGACATAGTGAGCAATTATTGTTGAATAATAAAAAAAATTAACTTCAGCTTAATCATATTAGAGCTTATATATCCACTAACTGTCAAATCTCATCATGCAATTGTGCATTATATTATTCTACTTTCTTAAGAAGACATTACTTTAAGGATGACTAATTTTACATTATATGCAGAACAAATATGTATTTCAGTGAAGAACCAAAGGAATACTGTGAAGAAGTTGAAAAGAAAATCGCTCTGGTCTAAGACCATGGAAGAGGTAACCAACCGGCAACCACACTATATCAAAAGTCCAATCGGATGCATTTTTTTAGACAATTTTTAATACTAACCCATCAACCCATTATCCAGCACGGCCTAGAATCATTTGTTGCATAAGTAGTAAAAGTTTTATGGATAAATTTAGTACATAAATTGGATCAAAATTGATTATCTTTACTCTGTCTACTCATTTCCTGACAACACAATACCCATTTACATACCCTACAATCTATATCCACTTGCAATGAACTTACAAGTTACTCTATATGTGTTTTCATTATGTGCAGTGCACCTCTGTGTTTTTATATATATATATATATATATATATATATATATATATATATATATATATATATAACACACGTACTGTACTGTTCTGTAGCTGGCCGCATAATAAGTTATTCTGTGACCACTTTGAGTTACGATAATTACTATACTAATTTACGAGATTATGGTAACTCCCTCGTAAGTGATTTACTATAGCATTATGGTAAGTATCATCTTGAATTATAGTAACCCATGTATCGTAAATGTGTATTGTCATTATCGTAAATTGTTACAAACATTACCGTAAATCAAGGTGGCCATGGACAGCTGCAGAATAGCCTTATCGTGTATATATATATATATATATATATATATATATATATATATATATATATATATATATATATATATATATATATTGGGAGCTTAGGGCTCCCAATAATTATTGAAAGCCCTGACCCAAAGTCCAGGTAGCTGGTTCCACCAAACCAGCCTCCCACCAACCTGGTCCAGCCACCAGCCCGCTAGACCACCCTGTGGCCCACCCACCGGCCCAGCAGGCCCAACCCTGACATGCCGTATATAAACCCCTAAACCCTAATCCCCATCCATCCACCCCTTACACCAGCCCCTACCACACGCCGCACCCCACCTAGAGCGGTCGTCACCGAGCAACCCGCCCCCGGCCGCCGCCCGCTCTCCCCTCCCCCAGCGATGGTAGGCTTTGCGCTCCATGGATGTGCGATGTGGAGGCGCCCGCCTCCCTTCTCCTCCACCCTAGTGCGCAATGAGATGGCGGCAAGCTCGTGGCCATGGCGGGGACGACGACGAGCTGGAGCGCGTCGGCCGCCTCCATGGAGTGAGCACCGCCGCGCCCTGGAGCACCTACGGTGGGTGCGCACGGGGACTGCGACAGCGATGGAGACGACGCCCTGGAATTCGAGGCCGCGGGCGGGGACGACTACGGCGAACGGGACACTATGGAACTCCGCGCTCATTCCATACCGGCGACGCGGCCCTACCCTTTCCCTGGCGCGCGACTTCCTCCCCCACCAGCGGCGCGCAGCCTTCCTCCCACAGGGCGGTGCGTGTGGCGAGCTTCCGAGCTGCGACGGCACCGGCCCGGCCCGGCCCTGCTCCCTCCCGACGGCGCGCGGCATCCTCCCTCCCGATGGCATACACGGCGGCCCTTGGAGGCGACATGGATGGGCCCACACGCATAGCTTCGACCGGCTGTGGTTCCTCTCCTCGGTGGCACCACAGGCCCACAACGGCCTCCCCTACCCCACCGGCGGCAGATCCGGTCCGCAGCGGCCTCCCCCACCACCACTAGCTATGTTGGCGGTGACCCTGCTCCCTCCCGGCAAGTGCTGGCCCTAAGCCTCCCAGCTGCAACGGCTGCCAGGTCATCCCCGCACGGTGCCCTGGCTCCCCTCTCCACGCGATGAGTAGCGAGGCCACCGGGTCCGGAGGCGGTGATGGGCTCAAAGGTCCGGGGATGGCTCGCGTTCGCGTCCGGCTACATGCTTGGACGACGGACAATGGCATCATGGCGGCCACGGGGACTGCTACTACGTCGTTGTGGTCTCGCCAACGGCGACTGCGTCGCGCTGGCTCACTACCTGGCGGTCTGGGTGACTTCGGGACAGGGCCTGGCGGCCAGGGCAGCATTTGTCATCTAGGTTTTTGTATGCATGCATAGGTTTTTATGTATGGTGAAACTGAGATTTCGAAGATGTTGGTTGATTTTTATGCTTAGTTGCATAGCTTTCCACACAAGTTGAATTCATCTTCATTGTTTTTGTTTGTTGATTTTGTGTGCCTATACTTGTGTGCATAAGTTTCTATAGAATGGCTAAACCATAACTTGGTATACATTGTTGGTATATATTTCTATACATTGTTGATACATAATTCTATACATTGTTGGAGCAGTTTCTATGCGGTTTTTATCATGTAACAAAATTAATCTTTATTCATTGAACTAATGATTTTTATGCAATGTCGGCTCCAAAAACATTTATGCGCATCTTGACAACTTATTCTATGAATCCGATCATCCATCATGTGGTATTTTTGAAATTTCAAATTTTGGGGAAGATGAGATCGTCTTCATGTTTTACTCTGTGGTCTCCATGTTCAATGCATTATCCCCATGTTAATTATACACCCCTATAGTGGGAAACATGGGGAGGCAATCACGGTTATCTCCGGTGGAATGTCCATCTCGTGGAGAGGTTTTACGCGGTCACAAAATTAATTTTTATTCATCGAACCACTAATTTCTATGCAATGTTGGCATAAAAACTTTTCTCCACATATTGATCAGTTATTCTAAGAATCCAATCGGCCATCACGTGCTATGAATCAAATTTTAAATTTTAGAGAAGACGAGATCGTCTGCATGTTTTACATCTGTGGTCTCCATGTTCTATGCATTGTTTCCATGTTAATTATATACATCTATAGTGGGAAGCATGATGTCGGTGGAGGCAATTACAGTTGTGTCAGGTTGAATGTCCATTTCACGGATATGTTTTTAGGTGGTAACAAAATTAATTTTTATTCATCCAACCACTAATTTCTATGTAACGTTGACGCCAAAAACTTTTCTACGCATCTTGACCATTGATTCTATGCATCCAATCGGCCATCATGTGCCATGATTCAAATTTCAAATTTTGGAGAAGACGAGATCATCTTTATGTTTTACGCTTGTGGTCTCCATGTTTTATGCATTGTTCCAATGTAAATTATAATCAAGGTTGTGTCAGGTGGAATGTCTATCTCGTAGAGAGGCTTTTACGCGGTAACAAAATTAATTTTTATTCATCCAACTACTAATTTTTATGCAACGTCGGCGCAAAAAACTTTTTTTTGCATCTTGACAATTGTTTCTATGCATCCAATCGGCCACCACGTGTCATGATTCAAATTTTAAATTTATGATTTTTATTTTTTTTCAAAAAATATTCACAATAGATCTTGAATCGTGCATAAAAATGTTAGGAGTTCAATGGTGAAAACTGTTTTTGAATCGGATGCTTCCTCGAGGAATTATAACGAAAAAACAAAAGAGATTAGATTGGACGCGTGCACACATGCATGTGTCAGCTTTGTCTGGTTGTGTCAGCTAGAAGTCTAGCTCGTGGATAGGTTTCTATAACGAATTAATTTTCATTGATCCAACTACTAATTTTTATGTATCGTCGCGACAAAAACCTTTCTGCGCTCCTTGATCTAGAATTTTATGCATCCGATCGGCTGGGTCTGTAGGGATCCCCCACCTGCGCGCGCGTGTCAGCTGAGCGAACCTAAATGGTTGGGCTAGGGTGGGGTGGCTATCTAGGGCTCTCCATTAGCTATTGGAAACCCTGGGCTCCCAATAGCGGGGTCCTATATATATATATATATATATATAGAGTTGAAACATTAATTTTAATTATATATGCTCTAGCTGTATCCATTTTTGAGAACATAGATCTATATTTTTTATTTCAACTTTTGATCTTATCTGTTGTTGTAATTCTTTTATCTACGTGTTAAGTTCAAATTCTAGTATGTATTATATCTTTTATTCAAAATCTCCCCTGATATCTTAGTAAAAATGGATTCTAGCTCCTATATTACATTCCTAATTACTACAATGACATAGACAATCGTTTCATCTTGTACCATGTTGAATTTCCTCTACCAAACAATTCTATGGGTAGTAGTATTCTTTTATATAAAAATAGAGAGTGCTTAAATTAAACTATCCATATTGACATGTCATAATAATCCTATCAAAATTCATAAACTTATATAAAGTAATAATTTACAAATTTTATTATCATAGTGTTTTATATAATTTGAAATAAATTTCCAGTATCATTTGTATATGATTTGTTATGGGAACATTTTTTCATAACATGTAAACCATAAACTATATATTTATCAATAATGCATGCATGTACACTTGGTATACATGGTGACACATGTTATTTATATTTATTTTAAATTTAAAATGAAATTGGATAATTTAGAATCATATAGTGTACTTTATGGTTATTTAATTCTTTTCTATAATAGCTTATATCGGTAATTTAGATGTAGATTTGATGGATATTTTAGTTTATGTTATATAATAGTAGATGCGGGTAATTTGGATGCAAATTAAGGAGGTTATTTCATATTATTTTGATAAAGCCAAATGTGGGTAATTTATAAGCAAATCTATGGGTTACTTAGAATTAACTTTAGGTTGGTAGTTCAAACATATATTTAGGGGGTTATTTATGTTTTTTTTCATAATGATAGAAGTAGGTAATTTTTTAGAAAGTAGAATAGATCCAATGGCTACTAATCTATATGATTATAGTGTCAACAAAATTAATGGTAGGATGTTTCTAATTATTTTGATAATTGCTAAGATTTTTCTTTTCCAACAAATATTGTGAAGATTAATCTAGAGGCTTCGAAGGCCAGTTAGTAATTAAGATATATGTTATATCATCCTTCGCATTGCACCTCTTTCGTATATAATTGAAACCTAAGCTTAAGTTATAATGTCATATCACCTCTTATTGCAACACTTTCTATGACACCATGAATCTATATTTTAGCATTCAACTTTTGATCTTATTAGTTATTGCAATTTTTATATACATGTTAGGGTTAAACTCTATGCTTATTGTATGTTTTATTCAAAATTTTCTTATTCTATTTTCCTAAAATAGATTTTATGTCCTAGACTACACTCTTAGTTGCTACAATGACATGAACAATCATTTTAGCCTACACTACAACACTCAAGATGTTGATTTCATTTTCTATTTAAAAAAAACTATATGTGTATTTGTATTGTTTTGTAAAAGCAAAGAGTGTTTAAATTAAAATACCAGTTCTAATAATGTTTGTCAAAATATATAAACTTATCTAAAGTAACGATACATAAAATTTATTGTCATGGAGTATTAATACAATTTAAAGTGAATTGTTGGTGTCACTGGTTTGTGATTTTTGAAGGCAATAGTTTTTCATGATTATTGACAAACTACTAAAATACATGCATGTTTACATGGTGGTACATAGAATTTATGCTTACTTAGTTTTTATTTATTGGGGGTAGAAATGTGTTATTTAGAACACAACACACACTTTATGGTTATTGAATTATTTTTCATAAAAACTTATATCGGTATTTACTATTTAGACATAGATTTTAGGGCTATTCAGTTTAATTTTTATAATTATAGAGGCGGATAATTTAGATACAAATTAAAGGGGTTATTCAAAATTATCTTCCAAAATGGAGGTTGCAGGTAATTTAAAAAAAATTCAAGGGTTACTTTGCATTATCCTTTCTAATCCTAGATGTGGATAACTTAGATGCAAATTTATGGAGTTATTTGAAATTACCTTTGACAAAGGCAAAATTTTTGTCTTACTTTATTGATTTTTTATAATGGCAGAGGTGGATACATTTTAGAAAATAGAATAAATCCAATGGTTCTCGGCAAAGATGGTTAGAGTGTACCAAATTAATGGCTAGATATTTCTGATTTTTTATCAATTTGTAGGATTTTTCCAGGCACATCTCATGAGGACTAACATTGAGGTTCTGATGGAGGCCTCCATTGAAATGTCACTACAAACTTACATCTTATAAATATTTTTTGTGGACAATGTTTGAGAATATTTAATTTCCATGGTGTAGTGATTTTTTGAGGTGCTTGAGGCCTGTTATAAACAAGATTTTAAATCTATAACAACCTTGCAACAATATGTTTGGTACAGCCTCTAGTTGACAGGTTGTCCAACAAGGTTTGAACGAGGGTGCCCATAAGTCTCCTCCTTGAAGTGTTTGATGCTCTCATCTCTTAACACAAACTAGTGGTGGGATGGTCGTGGGTGGGTAGTGTGTGTGTGGTTGGGGAGGAGGGATCTTCTTCCTTACGTGATTGAATTTTCTTGTAACCTAGAACCATTTACATGCCTTTCCAATAACTCAAGAATTCAATGAACTGATCCTTGATTACAAAGACTATTGTGAGTATTTTTTCTTTGTGTGGACATCCATATGGATATGATGTCATGTATTAACAAATGTGTTATAGTGTGTAGATACAACTTACCGAGTGTCTAGAGGCAACTTGTATTTTAATGACAACTCTAAAATTATATGGATGACAAGAAATACTATTGATCGATCCTAGTGTATACGAAGATGCCACTGCATTTTATTATTCTTGTAGTCTACCATGGTACAAATCACTATCCTATTGGGTAGCTAGGGTCCTCTATGTCCAATCATAGACCTCGCTAACAATTTAGTTAGTTTGAATTTCAACTAATTCTAAAAGTGACTCAACATTCCAACTTTTCCTAATAAAGGTAAGTGCTTATTTGTTTTGGTGTATGAAATTACAACAGCACTCCTTGTTGTTAAGGATGGGCAGGGCTTTCATTGGACCAACATGCATGAGCTGAGAATATGGGTGTTAGCCTTTCTTAGCATGCTGAAGTTCCACCATTAATTAATTGTTGTTATGCTGTAGGTTGTAGATAAACTTGTAGAGTTCGTGTACTTCTTGCAACTGGAGATTAGCACAGCTTTCTTGAATAAGCAAGGATACCAATCTGTAAACCAAGCAAGCAGCACTCAACAGATGTTAGGACCTTCTGGACTCGCATTTCAGTACGCCAAAGTAATATTGCATATAAATACTTTGGTATGTCTTTGTTCCTTCGATATCAGCTTAGGGTTATGTAAAATAATAGTACTCATATTTTAATTTGTTTCATTTGATACTAATCGTCCACAAAATTTTAAGAAAAGTAGTGAGATACCTTGTGCCCCTTATTAAAGTTATGTTTTTTGTTACGTCACTTGCTTGTCCCCTCAACAACGCCTCCTGCTTACAAATGAACAAATAGTTTATACTCATATAAAATGGAGAAATTACATGAGGAAGGGTCATTACTATAAAATGGAAGCATATATATCTTAATAGTATATAAGGTTTTCTAAAATCAATGTTTTCAACTATAATATTAAATAGAAATTTCTGGTTGCATCAATTAAGTGATATGATTTTATATGATACTACTTAATTTTATAGAACCTTACTCAAAGGAAAGTTAAACATTGATACAGATTTAGTTATAGTCTTAACAAAAATATTAGATGAGTATTCATTATACATAAAGTGATAATTAAAGAGGTTTATGTGAAGAATGCATATATATATAGGCATCTGGGGACTTCAAGAAAAACATTATTTCTTGTCGTAGCTCTTACTTCGACACATGGATTGACTTTTTCTTATACGCTTACAACTTCATGATTATTAGGCATTCCCCTCATATGTGGGGGTTAATGGCACAGCTAGGGATGCGTTATACCAGGCACTGCCTCCTTGCATCAAATGGAGGTTACGCCAGCGTCCATGCATAGCGAAGGTAGCTAGCTAAACTTTTCACCAAACCTAACATCAGAACTATTATGTTGTTACGTTACACATATCTGGCAAAAATAAGAAGTTGCTATGTTACAAATATCTGGCAAAAATAAGAAGTGTTGAAAATATGAATCATGATTCATGTTTTTTATTTGTTGTATATAATGCATGTAAATGCTCCACATTTTAATAATGGCACAACATTTTTGTTAAGCATTACAACTCACTTTGCTTCCGATATTTCCAAACACTGCTTCCAATAATAAACCTACAATGACTGCATAAACCATTTTGAAATTTGAATTGTTCAAGATATGCACCCACACTGTTCATCTATTTTGATTGTGACAATTGCTTCTTTGTCACAGACGGTAGGAGAGGCAAGAGCAGAAATAGACAAGATACTACAATGGCTTGTGCCGGTTGCAGAATCGACGAGGTATAAAAAGTAACTAAAACATCACACAAATTTTAGTATTGCCAAAAATATTACTACTAGGATAGGTGAGGAACCCGTGCAATTTCACACATGTATCTTTGTTTAGAATACAACATAACAGCAATAAAATTTTCTAGTGGTATAGTTACTATTGATGTTTAAGGTGATGACTTAAATTAAAGTTCCACAGGACTCAAGTGGCACAATCCATCTACAAACTGATTAGAAAAAATAGTTTAAATGACATAGATAACATAGAACTAGAAGTGTGACCGTGCTCAGCATGAGTGTGTTTGGCCGTGCCCCTAACATTGCCCATCTCCACACTAGTGCCATCCACCACCTCTCTTACTCGCTTCAAAGCGACGATGGTTGTCTGGTACTCGACAAGGGCATTCAAGAGCGTGGGCACTGTTAATACAGTATACTAGGAGATGGAGCCGTGTTGATCCGGCAGGGGTGGTAGCTCGCTGCTGTTGCAGGAGACGGAGCCGCATGGGGGGCCAGCAGGGGTGGATGCGAACGATCTGGCAGCTCGCCACCGGGTGCCTCCAATCTGTGGCATGAAGGCTACTACTTCGTCGATATATATGGTACCCATTATGCTTTGCATTAGCGGATAAATTTGCCTCGATCCTATGCTACGGGAAGAAAAACAAAGAGATAGAGCCCTCTAAATACTGCAGAACATAGGGGATGCAAGAGAAGTATGAATAATGACGATTAATGGCAGAAGGGGAAGCGATGAGATCATGGTAGAGGGAGGCTGACATGTGCCATGGAAGTGAAAGAGGTGCATTAATATTTCTGAAAACTGCTATCCACTATGCAAGGATCAGAAGTGGAGGGTGCCGCACGGATGAATAGATGGAAGTCGAATTAGCAATGAATGAATGAGGCTTAGTGGGAGATTACAGTTTTTGTGCGGCTGTGGGCTTGTGGGGCATGATGATGACGTGGCTTAAGGAGATGCTAGAGAATTAGGCTAGTGGGTTTTGCTTTATAGGAGTTATTATAGATGTGGTCATATAAATAGTTTGACGCCATCTTATGTGGAAAGGTATAATTGTTAATTATGAGCATGTGCACTTTACATAGATTGATGGAGGTTTTGTTATTTTCACCTGTTTGCTTTTCTGTATGGTTAGATTGTATTACAAGAATGGCACAATCAGAGAATCGGAGTTGAAAGGGTAGGTATATACAACAACCTAATATCAATATGGTTGTACGCATTGATACAGTAGATGGAATTACGGATTCTAGACCATGATTTACAATGCCAAAATTCCTTTATCAGGACGGAGGATGTTGATGTTGATGAAGCGGAAAATCATCAGATCACTGTTAGTACCATGCTGGCACATGAAAATGACACAGTGATAAAAATAAACACACTGTATTACGCCAACAAGGAGAAGGCTGATGGCTATGTATTGCACCTACTTTGGGCTCTTCAAGATTACATCGATGCCATATCAATGGCGTATCGACGGCCTATGGTGCATGGGTGAACTGTAGCTTGCATAGTTGCATGTACATTGGGTATCATTGGCCAAACCCAATGAATCCTATGAAATGTGGTAATAAATATGTTGGGAGCCTGATATGCCAGTAAGTTTATTTATTTACTTAATATTTACAACGTAACATATTGTGGTAATTAAGGTTGTACAAAATTTGTCCATATACCTCCGTTATTACCGACGTCACTTTAGACTTCTGAATAGTAAGATTATTTTTTTTACCTGGCGATCTTCTGCAGTTCCGCTTCATCCACTGAACATCCTGATGAAGATTCATAGCAAGAGGAAGGTCACCAAAATTAATATTGTTGACATGTACACAAAGAACATTAAAAAAAATCTATCTGATCATCTCATTTGCTCAGTCCAGATATGGCCGTTGAGGAGGACCAGCGACGCCAGATTCAGAGGCCTGTGGGCTGTGATTAGTGGATAACTGAAGATAGAGCTTGGGCCAGATATTATACTATTGGGCCAACTTAAAAATATGTACCCCTTTGCATGTGGCCTAGCATGGTCCTTTGTCTTCCTGGGCTCGCTCGGATGCAGGCAAACAACACCACCGTAACACCGTTGCCGCCAACTGAAAAAAATTCGATAGGTACAATCCCCATGGAACAACTATAGACACCCGTGACACATGCCCCATCTCCATATGCATGCACCTAACGTATAAGAGAGTTGCAATTTTTCTTTCTAACTATTCCTTCTAAATTTAGGCAACAGTTCCATGCATTTAGAGATAGCAACAGGCCAGATAAAGTGTGAGTAGAGTAAATACCCCGCCCGCGACAAATTGCCTATTGGTTAAAATTTTATATCCATACCCATGGGTAGAATTTTGTACCCATGCCCCGCACCTGACAGGTACAATATACAAGGACCTGTATCCGCGAGTTAGATTATCACAAGAATAGATAGGCTTCTTTGTATTTTTAGCATTAACGGTTGAAGTGACAAACCCGCACGTGCTGGTGATATTTTGTAACCACGCCCACACTTCTGCTACAAGAAGATATTCGAATGCTGAAGAGAATAGAGTGTTGCTCGTTGTCTGACCATAGCTCACGGACTGGTGGCTTCTTCTAAAGAGGAGGCTGGGCGAGCAGAGGATCCTGGAGACCAGCCCATTTGCACTTGTTGTCCAAACCCACGGGTCATGGGCCTGGAGTGGCAGTAGAGGGGTGGTGTTGAGTTGTATTAAAGAGAGAATGAGCAAAGGAGAGAGTAGCAAACTTGTAAACGAAACTCTCACATTCTAAATCTTGTCCTCGCCGAACATCTTCTTCTTCCTTCCCACGCAACTCCTCTCTACCAATGTTCCACGGTTTTCATTTCAAAAAAGCAACTTGGTATCAGATACTCATTCGCAACAACCACACAACCACTTCAATAGATTTCAATGAGCTCAAGGTGCTATGGATCTAAATCTCAAAGTAGACCTTGATGAGCTCGGTCGCCACTTCGATGACCACGACACCAAGTGGGAGCTCCGCTTTGCAGATCTTGATCATGAGCATGCCACCCGTGAAGTAGCCATCGATGAATGCCTAGGCTCTCTTGAGACCGTTTGCGTGGATTTGGCATCTCTCTGTGTCGAGCACTCCAACGCCAAGAGTAATGAATGCGTCGATGCTTTGGAGGGTTGCCGCCATCGATCTCGATGCCTGGCGGCTAGAGGTCGAGGCGATCATCGATGATCTCAAGTTGGAAGTATAGAAGATAGCCGCATATTGGGACCGCGCGGTGTTCGACATCTCGTGGCACCAGCTCGGCCTTATGCCTTCCCCTACATCGACGATTGTGCGCTGTAACACCCTAAAATTTGCATTGTTTTAAAATAAGAGAAAATGAATTAATTATGCATTTTGGGAGCATTTTTATTTAGGAAAATAATAAATTTTACCAAATTAAAATCAAATATAAGGTTTACCTACATGTCTATGCATTCATGCTGCGGTATATTATTTTTGTATTGTGTGGTTTGAAATCAAATTTCAAATTGATTTGAATTTGTATTCAAAATTTGTATGGAAAAATAGTTTAGAAAATAGAAAAGCATTCTATTCTTCCCTTCTTGGATTTCAGCACGCTGCAGCCCAGCTCGGCCTGCCTTCCCGCGCGGCCTGCTCTCCCTCCCACAACGGCCCATTTAGCTCGGCCCAGCAACCAGCAGCCAGCAGCCCAGCGCAGCCGCCTCTCCCCTTTCCCCCTCTGTTCCGCTGATAGCCAGGCCTGCGCCCTTCACTAACCAACATGATGGTCCCAGCAGTCAGTTGTCTCCCTCCTCCAGCATGAGTCCAGGCTAGACTCAACTCCGACCGGGAGTCCGCCTCCGCCCCGATTCGATAGGATGGCGTGCGCCCCACACCTCTAGCCCTCATATAAGCCGGCCCGCACTGCGCCGTCCTCACCAAACCCTAAAGCGCCAGCCGCCGCCCTCGCTTTTGCTCCAACCGCCGTGAAACCCTAGCAGCTCGAGTCGCCGCCGTCGCCGTCCGCTTCACTGAGTCCCACGCCACCGCAGTCCCACCTTCGTTCGTGAAAAGCCCTTCGGTGAGTCCTCCGTCATCTTCTCTCTCTCCTCGTGCTCTTGGTTCGCCAAACGGTGGCACGTAGGCCCTAAACCACGAACGCCGGTGAGCTCTTCGCCGCCGTCCATGGAGATCCGTCGTGCCCGGCCCTGTTCCGGTGACTGCGTTCCTCCGATCTGATCTGCACCATCTAATCCAAAATCAAGGGCCAAGATTAGAACATACTCCTTCGTCTGCTGTTTTGCAAAAAGGCCCTTATAATTATTTGGATCTCAACCCGCCGTCCCTGCAATTTTGTTCAAGAGCCCCTGTATTTCTTCGTTTTCATGCCCACAGTCCTTGGTTCGGTTTAAAATCCGATTTTATTTATTCAAATTCAAAAATTAAGTTTCATCTATTTACAAAACTGCCACTACCTTCTATAGGTCATAAAATCTTCGATTTAACTCCGATTTGATTCGTTCAAGTTGTTTTAGGTTCGTAATTGAGTAATCTACATGTTTATATTACTGTTAAGTATGTTTTTAACTTTTAAAATTTGAGGTTGGATTTAATCTATTATTTCATTAAAGGAAATCTTGTTTAATTCATAACTTCTTCGTTTTAGCTCTAATTTTTGTGATCTTCGCGTCTGTGTGATCGTAGCGAGACGTAGATTCATTTTACAAACTTTTAATCTTGATTTTATGCTAATTGATGTATTGTTCTAATCTATATCTTTTGTTTGCTATGCATGATTGCTTCTGGACGCTTGTATGTTGCTGTGATTATCGAGTATAGACGGTGAGCAATTCGTGGGTGATCCAGAGTACTACTTTGATGAGCAGGAACAGCAGGAGCACTTTATTCAAGGCAAGTATAGCATAGGATTATTCTTGTTTCCTATTAACTTTAATACATTTAATTCAGGTTGCATGTGTCACCTTGATAGGGATTCCCTAGAATTGAACTTATATCTTGTCACCTATGAGATATGCATTGGGTAGCTATGCTAGTGCTCAACTAAACCATGATCTTGTAACTTGACTAATGGTATATGCAATAAACATTAAAATGTGACTTTTTAGCAACTTGAAAACAGGGGGCTGGACTGTTTAGCTAATTTCTAAATGCTTCAGATTCCTTTTCCTAAGGACTTATCTGTAAGTGATTATCCGAGACTTATAGTACAACTGTGAGGGCTATATAGCTCTGGCTTTAGCTCAGTATGATGACCTTTTCTACCTTGTTAGATGTTATCTTTATTGGCGTAAGAATAGCTTGCCGAATCGGGTATAGGACAACCTCTACTCTTATGTGTATAGCCGTGATAGAATTGTGCCATTCGACATGTTTGCCGAGTGAATCTAATGGCCCTAACTTGTTAGACGAACCTTAGAAAGGCTTCATAGTGACCCCTGCCTGCTCACCTTGGAAGTGTTTTGGGAGTAATTAACCCGGGCATATGGGTATCACGACTCACAGTGAAAGTGTACAACCTTTGTAATGTGTAAAACTGGTATATCAGTCGTGCTCACGGTCACGAGCGACCTTGGAACATTTACGGAATAGATGATCATTAAGAATTATCCGTTTATGCTATTCATTATTCATGTTTACATTGATCATGTGTTTTACTTTGGGACTGAAACAACTTGTTGCTACTCTTATGCTAAAATTGTGACAATTAAAAGCTAAATGTTGTTAAACCTGTGTTAAGCCTTTTGAGCCTCATGAACCCCATGTTACACTCGTTGAGTACGACACATACTTACGCTTGTTTATTTTCATTATTTAGATAAAAATCCCGGATGGGTAACAGATGGCCATGGTAATGACGACTTTCCTGAGGAATACTAGACTTATGGTCAACCAGTTGACGTCCTTATGATATGGAGCTTCCGTGAGAGATTTTTCTTTATACTTTCGCTATATTTATGTGAAGACTATGTCTTATTATTCGTGATGTAATAAACACTTGTGATGATACTATTTATAATTTATCGGCTTATGTGTGTGACTGATCTCTGGGCACACATAAGATTTTACATCCCATTTTATCCTTAAAATTGGGTGTGACATGCGCCCATCACTGCCGGTTGTGGTGTGTTGTGTAAATACTACTACAGAAAGCCCATCACCACCGGCCTTATGGTAGTCGCATTAACACTACTACAGAAAGTTCATCACCGCTGGTTCAAAAACCCCTTCGCCGACGGTTTTGGCTGCCATTGGTGATAGTCGTTGCTGATCACCGCCGGTTTCGAACCATCGATGGCATTGTTCATCACCACTGGACCAGTGTTCAATCCGGCGGTGCTGCTGTTATCATCACCGCCGCGCCGACATTCGATCCGGCGGTGATGTGGAGACATCAATGCCGGTTTGGCGTACCATCCAGCGGTGATGACGTAGACATCAACGTAGGACCGGGTGTACTGTCTGACGGTGATGGGGAGACATCAATGCCGATCC